ATGGATTATGGCTGCGAATTTTTGTCACTGGGCTGCTCATTGTGGATAATATAGAGAGACTACTCAAGTTATTTTGTGACAATAAATCAGCAGTACTATATTCCAATAATAACAAGAGTTTGACAAAGTCAAAACATATAGAGATCAAGTTAATGGCTATTAAAAAAAGAGTTCAGAGTAGCAGGTGTTAATAGAGTATATCGGGACAAACTTCATGGTTGCAGATCCGCTTATTAAGGGATTGATATCCAAGGTCTTTCATGAGCATACTGCTCACATGGGTGTAATGTCTCTTAAAGATATCTAGTTTCAGTGAGAGTTTGTATTTATGTGATTTTTATTCTAGACAAATGTATTGTCATTTTGGATATAGTTTATGATTAAAGTTATTTTCAGTCATAAAGTTTTTTTTAGTTTATTATCTCTAAAATTGTTTGAAAATGATCTCACTAAGGTATTAAGGCGCATCAGTTGGTAATAGGCATGTTGAGATCACATCACATGTAATTTCCATGTTACACATCCATACTTGATCAATGTCATTCAGTTATGTTGATATAGGTGATCATTGATGGGTTTAGTTACGATATAAGTAGCGAACACCGCTTTGATCCTAAGTTGATATGATTGATGGACCAGATTGTTTGGAGATGCATTTGGTAATTATNGGATGTATTCGGTAATAATAGCAAAATTTTGAGTACTCGTAAGGTTATGTTTAATATACACAATTATAAGGTAACGCATATAGCCTAAGTGGGAGATTGTAAGGATTTTTAATCGATCATGTGGGCTTATATGTGAATTATTGTGTATTAAATTAAAAGCTATCAGTTTTGGTTAACCCTATTTAAAGTGATCTAATAAGGTTTCGATATTTTGAGATTTGAAACATCTAATTAAAGTATGGGCTTTATTTGTAGAGACCATGCCCATTTCTAATTTCATGATAGGCAGAATTAGGTTAACATGTCGTTCGTGTGTATGTGTGTGTGTGTGTGCGTAATGGTCCTCAGATCATACGTAAATTGTTCATTATGTTCCGACTCCCATCATCAGAGAGAAATAATGGAACAACATGTTGATCTGGAAACTAAAATCGCAGGATTCACTCATTGTATTAACCATGTCTGATTCGGTACGCTTCCGCTTTGGTTTACAAATTCTTGGTGATCCGACATGAAAGATCATTATGACGGTAATGGTTTTCCAATAGTTTATACTAATTTCTACTCTAAGAAAACGAATAAATATGATATTTTTCTAATATGTGAATGCTTGTATCGGATTTATGTATCCCCCTATTTCCATCTATTTC